AAGGAAATAGGAAGGGTCGAGGAAAAAGTTAAGCACCACCATGAGGAAACAATTAGCCAAGCCCAGGGTGTAGAAAATGCTACAGGCCCATTAACTTTATTTCTTCAAGAAATAAATGTCATGGAAAGAGGCAGGCAGGAAAAGCAAGGTGGGGGGGACTTTCCTAGATTAGAAGAGATTTAAGAGACATTACACCTAAGTGTAAAATGTGAATTTTGTTTGGGTCCTGATTCAAATTAACTGTAAAAAGACATTTTTGAGACAATCGGGGAAATATGAATATGGACTGAATATCAGAGCATATTAAGGAACTGTTGTCAATCTTGTTAGGTGTGAAAAAATGGCCTTGTGTTTATGTAAAAATGAAAACCTTATCTGCTGAAGTATTTATGAGTGAAATGGTCTGACCTTAAAATGCTCCCGCAGTCAGTCCCATCAGTGAATAATGGAACAGATGAAAAAAGATGAGCAAAACGTTGATAATTATAGACGTATGATGGATACCTGGGGATTTATGATGCTGCTTTCTTTACTTCTGTGCACATTTAAAATTTTTATCGTGAGAAATTGTTAAAAAATTGTTTTCACGTTAAAAGAAATGTTTCCCTTTCTAATCACTCAGTAATTAAAAGTCAGTGCCCCTTTCCTTTGTGAACATTCCGAGCATAGTTTTTGTTTGATGATTTTTAATTAAATAGACCAACTTAAAAAGGGCAACACTATACAGTAGATTAAAAATGAGCTCTTTGGGAATTGGTTTCAGTAATAAAATGTGTATTCTCTAACTGTGGTTTTGATGAGGTTCAGATTTCATAAAGCAGCACGAAATATTGTCCAGTGTTTTCTTTTTGCAGTTTCTCAATTTTCTTCACCACTGCCAAGAGTAATTTCATAAGATAGGCCTTTATAGGACTCTGTGTTTAAAGCATAATTGCATACCTCATTTTTTATACTTAATTTGACTATTTGCCATGTCCACTGTTTAAACGGCAGTGGATGGGGATATTGGGAATAGGGAAATGGAAGAGTAGACTGTGAGATGTGCTTTCCATTCAGAGTTGTTTCTCCGCCCTTCATTCATTCCATAAAAACTGTGAGTAACTCTACTGTGCAAAGGACTGTACTAGGCCTGATGTGGAAGATGGTCAGGCAGGTCCTTGCCCTTCTGGAGTCCTTGTCCTCTAGGGGAGAGAGGCTTAAGCTGCTGGTTATCTAATTCATAATGTGATAAGTGCTGTGAATGTACAGAGTGTTGCAGAAGAGGAGGATCTTGTCTGAGGAAGGGACAGGGAGGGCATCCTTGAGTCTGATGGGAGAGTAGGAATTGACTATTCAGATGGAGAGGTCAGAGGAATATGGTCAGAAGCAAAGGAAAGTGCATGCTTGTGGGGGAAGGATTAAGTCTATGTGCCTTGAGCAGTTAGCTTTTTGACTCTTAAGTTAAGATCAGTGGAAAGACATTGAACATTTAAAATAATTTACTATGAAACATTTCATGCATATAAAATATATGCAAGATGTAAGAATATATAATGAACACTCATTATCTAGCTGAAGAAATAAAACATTACCTATACCGTTGGAGCCCCTGGTTACAGATTCTGTCCTTCCTCTATCTCCTTTTTTCTGATCCTGCCCTTTTCTCTCCTTTTCCTTCCTCCCTTCTTCCCAGGAGCAATCACTATCCTGAATTTTCTGTTTGTATATTTTTTGTTTTCCTTTTAGTCTTCGTGTGTGTGTGTGTGTGTGTGTGTGTGTGTGTGTGTGTGTGTGTGTGTGTATATATGCATCCAAAGTAATGCATAGTTTTGCATGATTTTGACCTTTGGGTCATAACAATAGTATGGATGAATCTCAGTGCTGAGTGAGGATGGTAAGTTACAGGAGCCACATACTAGGAAACCACTGAAGGGCTTTCTGCAGGGAAGTGACATTCATTTGTGTTTTATAAAGGTTATTTTTTCTGTAGAGTGGATAGTGGATTGGAGGTGAGCAAGAAGAGATGGGGAGAGCAGTTGGAAGGATGCTGTAATCTACAAGAGGTGACAGCTTATGGTTGACAGTTGTGCCTCTTAAGAGAAATTATATATGAAGTTGTAACCGTGGCCCTTTGGGATCTTGTCCCTCCTAACTGTTTGACTTTTCTCAGACATGACAGTCTTGTTTCCTGAGTCAGGGTCTTTCCCTGTTCTTCTACCGGAAGCCTTTCCTCTCAAATCGACAGATTCTCTCTTTTCCTACATTCAGGCCTCTCTTTGCTCAGAGGTCTTCTCTGACCACCCTGGAGAAGTGACCTCCTGCCCTTTTCACTGTTTGCTAGTGTCCTTATTTTGCTTTCTTTTGCTTTGTAATTTTTTAAAAATCAAAACCTGAAATTATATATTTATTTATTTACAGCCTGTCTTTCCCTGCTAAAATATAAGATCAAAACAAACAAATACATAAATACATAAACAAACACATAAGATCTATGAGGGCTGGGACTTTATCTGGCTTGTCTGACATTGTATATTCCCACCCCCTGAGCCTTATATATGGTAGGTGCTTAATGAATATTTGTTGAATAGATAGGTGAGTGAATTAACTTGCAGTTGGTATAATGGAATCCAGTGATGCCTTTTCATCTGTCTTCCAAACATCTTTCTGGCTGTAAATTAATTTCAGAGCTTGAGGTTAATGCCCAAACCCTGTTCCTACTAGACATTTCCACTTGACTATCTTGCTGTCACCCCAAACCCAGTATGTCTAAAATTACACATTATCTTCCTTCCTCCAGTCGTCCAGTTTTGTTCTTGCCAACATCACTGACAGTCCCCAGGCACAAAACCTCTGGGTTATCTTGCAGTGTTACCAGTTCTGCTCTCTAGGGCACCCTCTATGCCCATATATGTCTTTGGGGGAGTTTCTGGTCAATGTTTGCACCTCTGCTTCCTGCCATTAACATTAGAGCCAGCCCTCAAGGCCCTGCTTGAATACTTCTCTTCTGGGCATCAAGATGAATTTTCCATCCCAGCACCCCTTTTGTTTTTTTTCAAACATAGTATCCTGGCCTGTACTGTTAGTTACTTTCCCATGTCCTTATATTTTAAACACAGTAAAACAAAGTATTTGATTGAGTCAACTTTATTTCCTTCTGTATTATCCTATTTTTATTTTTTTATTGTGAAATACATATTTTTAAATTAGTTTCAGCTGTACAACACAGTGCAATAGTTATACTTTTTACCCCTCAAAGTGACAACCCCCTCTCCCAATCCGCTGCCCCACTCCCACCCCCCCATATCATACATACCTATTACAATTCCCTTGACTCCACTCCCACACTATACTCCACGTCCTGTGACACTATATATATATATATATATATATATATATATATATATTTATTTATTTATTTATTCATTCAATTATAGTTGACATATCTATAATTGACATATAGTTGACATATCTATAATTGACATATAGTTGACATATCTATAATTGACATATAGTTGACATCAGCTTCAGGTGTACAGTGCAGTGATCAAGCCTCTACCCCATGCATGAAGTGGTCTCCCTAACAAGACATGTGACCACCTGACACCCTACAAAATATTTACAACATTATTAATTATATTCCGCGAACTGTCTTTCCTGTCCCTGTGGCATTATTGTCGTTACCTATTTATGCTATCTAATCCCTTTCCCTTCTCCCTCATCCCCACCCCCCTTCTAACTTAACAACCATCAGTTTTTCCTCTATATTTCTGAGATTTTTTCTTTGCTTGTTCATTCAGTTTTTTAGATTCCACATATAAGTGAGATCATATGGTATTTGTCTTTCTCCGACTGACTTATTTCACTTAACATAATCTCAAAAAACTGGAAATGGAACTATCATATGACCCAGCAATTCTACTCGTGGGTATCTATCCAGAGAAACCCAAGATGCTAATTCAAAAAAATATAGCACCCCTGTGTTTATTGCAGCGCTATGTACAATAGCCAAGACTTGGAAACAACCGAAATGCCCATCGATAGATGACTGGATTAAGAAACTGTGGTACATTTATACAATGGAGTATTACTCAGCTATAAAGAAGAATGAAATCGTACCGTTTGGGACGATATGGATGGACCTGGAGACTATTATGTTAAGGATCTTTTTTTGTGTGTGGTGGTGGTTGTTTTACTCAGGCTCCAACATGACTTCGCTTAAAACCAGGCAGCAAGGAATAGGTAACCCATACTTAAGCCACAACAAACCCCAGACAGTCATACTTTCTACACAAATACGGTAGTTCAAGAGTTTTTAGATTCGAAATAACCTGCTGATCACATTTAATGACACATATTCAGATCCATATCAGGACTACTTTCATAAAGTATAATTATTCACATATTTTGTTGAACTTAGCTTATCCTAGTGATGTGCATATAATCTGTGGTAGAAAATGACAGTGAAAAATATTTCCGTAAGTTTTCAAATGGTTCATTTGAATGGTTCACTGAGAGCAGTGAAGCATAGATTAGAATAGCAGCGTTAGGTAACTAAGGCTGTTTACCAAGAGATCTGAAAGGATCACCTGGTTCCTATAAGCTTTTCCTAAGAAAGGCCAGATAGGGATAGTAATTGAATTTTAATGCTTTCTGATAAACATTGACCCGGCAAGCTTTTTTAAATGACTAAGTTTCTAATCTGCTTTGACATTTCTTCAGAGTGCTGCAAACAGTGATTTGTTGGTATGTTCAAAAATATGTATAATTTGTTTTAGTGAAGAAGGTTTGGAAATACTTTGTAGAATTCTATTAAAGTAGAATCTGTAAGGAATAAATCTGGAGGAATGGACAAGATGACCTTTCCATTTCTTAGACACCATGTTGAGATTTGTAGAACTTTATTTTATGTTTCAGCAAAATGAATTAATTGTTCTAACTGGCTATCACTGTTAAAAAGATAAAATGTAATACCAAAACTGATGCTCTTTTGCTTGCTAAATGACGCTTTTAATTACTTTTAGGTGTACAGTGTTGATTGGAGCCAAACCAGAGGCGAACAGCTTGTGGTGTCTGGTTCATGGGATCAAACCATCAAACTGGTATGTAGGCATTACTGTATTTAAAAGCAAATATTCCTTTCCCCAAAGCTTCCACTGAGTTTTTTTCTTTTCTAGAACATACTTTTGTAGCTTTTTAGTTAGATAGCTAATTTTCTTTCCAAAAAAATGTATTAAAGCCATTATTAGAATTTAAAATTTTTAATCTTTGGGCTGTAAACCAATAATTAGCTCAGCATTGATTACTTTAGCCCCTTAAATACCATCTTGCTTTTTATAAAAATAGACTTTAAAAAATCCTTGACATAGGTATGTATATTGTGTGTATATATATAAATACATATACGTTATATATTGTATATATAAAAGTGTACATTTGAATTTGCCTCTCAGTAATTGATCTATTCATTTATTTGTAGTGGGATCCAACTGTGGGAAAGTCTCTGTGCACCTTTACAGGCCATGAAAGTGTCATTTATAGCACAATCTGGTCTCCCCACATCCCTGGTTGCTTTGCTTCAGCCTCAGGTAAATAATTGGCTATTTACCAAAAACCTTACTTGTAGCGAATGGTGGCCAAGCTTTCTCCAGTAGGTGGCGCTGTGTACCTTAGATTTCGAGGGAAAAAAAACTAAAAAGATTCTTTGTGCTTTTTAGACGGTTTCATTCTTTACCAACCTCTAGGCAAGAATTAGCCACACTTGAATTACGTTTTAATGATTCTAACCATTTGACTTAACATGTTTCTCTTTGGTGAGGTAAGAGGTGTGGGACATAGAGCAGGTGAGGGCTTTGGCATCAGTCTCTCCTTGATGTTTACTTTATCATCCTTTTAGGAATATTGTCTGTAATTCATTGCCACAGAGCCATAGCAGGGGTGTTTTTCTGGTCTGATATTTTTTCTGACTGTTTGCTTTTGATTCATGTCAGCAATTCAAAGGCAAAGTAGATACTTTCACTTATATGTCTCTGTTTTGGGTTGGTTTTTTTTTTGGTAGAGAAAAGTCATTTTATCGAAATTTAATAATTATACTTTGTACTATTTGCATAAAGACTTAACAAATTTGGTTTGTGTGCCAATTGATAAATCATATGAAGCCTGAACAGTCTAACTTACACATAAGTGGTAGAGAAACATCGCTCAGCCTCTCGCAGTGCCGTTGAAAGCAGCGCAGTCTACCTGCCGCATGGCCGCTTACATAGCCTTCCTGTCTTCAGTTGCCCTGAGCTGCTCTGGAGCGCCTCTCCCCTGGCCATCTGGCCATTTGCCTTATTCTCCTCACCCCCCTTCAATTCTGCCCTCACAGCTCTTGTACTTCCATCCTTTACCTTTTCCTCCCACCAGCCTAGCCTTTGTCTCTTCTGTTGTCCTGATTTTACCTGAATGAGTTCAGTGGCAGGGTCTTCCCAGTGGGTGATGGGAGGAGAAGCTGAGACAGCAACGCTCCTTTCTGCCCATGTTTAGAAGATAGAATTGTTCTCTGCAGCGAGGAAACAGTGCATCAAAAGGTATTTGAAGTTATATAGTTCATGTGCTTAAGAATATGGAATATCGATTCTTAGTGACATTGTAGTATCTGCCACACCATTACTTTTCATGTGAATTAAATAGAACACAACTATTAATGAACAAATACAGTTTGTCCTAGGCAGGTTACAACTGGTTATAAATCTTTCAAACTGGGGAAGCAGCCTAGCTGTTTTTACTAGCCACTGAGCTGCTTTGCTTAAATGGTTTTACCCTTGGTTTATCAGAACAAAGGTTGCTAAGTCTGTATAACAGTTATAAGAATGTGTAACGTGCTAATTAATCATAAATATTTATGGTGATTGACAAAATAAGATCACTTTTTATTTTTTACTTTTATAACTTTCAAAATATAAATTTCTAAAGAAAAAGCAAAACTGGTATGCCAGATAATCTCTGTTCTAACGATGTACATAGTAAGGATATTCAAACAACACAAACATACCAAGTAAAAAATAAAAGCCTCCCCCCTCCTATATAACCTATATAACCACTGTTAGCATTTTCTTGTGTTCTTCCATAAAAATTATTTTGCTTATTCCAGAGTATATGGTACAGAAAGTTTAAAATATTAATGGAGAATATTCTTGAGGAAAAAGTCAGATGTTTTCAAAGGCTGAATTTGCTTAGTGATGTTAGGTTTTATATACTTGTAGCTATAAAATCTTTGTTGTTGAAAATGTACAGGAAAATAACTTTGTAATCATGAGGCAGGAAATCCCCCGTCCCAAATTCTTCTTCCCCATTGAAAAACATTGTTTTTTAAAAGCAGTTTTTGATTGTGGAGATTTCTTAGTAGCCTTAATCCAGTGTTATAGCTGAATTGAGTAAATCATGCCACCATTTAGAAAGAGCTCTTAGACTGTAGTTTTGAATAAACTTGATGGAAAACAATACCCATCAATTATATATTATAAATCACATATAAATTTATATTATATATTTAAATTTATGAAATTAAAACATTTAAAATAGCAAAGGAAGTACATGTTTTTTTTATTGGCTCTACCACTAATAAACTTTTGGCTAAGGAAAGTTTTCTGAATATTTTCCTTCCTAAAAGCTCTGACACTTTAATACATATTGCTTCATTTTCCTTTTAAATGATTTGTGTAATGTATTGCATGCCATTATAACTGTAACAAATGTAGGAATAAAATGTGAACAATTTGATTGGCATAGGCAAGGTCAGAGCTGCTCTCCTGGCTGGGCTGCCTCCCTGAGTCACTCTCGCCCTGCCTCATTAGACATGTGATAGGAAGGGTAAGCCGATGTCTGCTCATAGTATTCCAGAAGGAGAAATTAGAGGACATGGGGAGTGTGTACATACATATAACCTATATGACACTAATTTCAAATGTGTTTATTTCAGAGCAGCAGATACACAGATGTACCTCCTCAGTCTTTTAAATGTTTGCCAATTTGATGCATGAAAAATATCTAAAGGTTGTTTTGATTTGCATATTTGATTACTAAGGAGAGTGAAGACCTTTTTATATGTCAGTTGGCCACCATAATTCTCCTTTGGTGAGTTGTATGTTCATGTCTTTGGCCCATTTTTCTGTTGAGAGATATTTAGTTGTTTTTCTGTATTGACATATGAGCTCTTTTTATATTTAGGAATTAGACCTCTGTATCCCAGTTTTTTTGTGTTTTAACCTATTTAGTTAATTTCTTACTGTAAAAAATTTTAATTTTTTAGTAGTCAAAACTATCAATTTTTTTATTTGTAGGTTTCTGGCTTTCATTTAGGATGAATAAGTAGTTGGCTCATTGAAACATAGAAGGCCTTGGGTGGCAAGAGAACATTCCAGGCCTAGAAAATAGGATGCTCAAAGTAAGAACTTGATGAATTTGAAAAACTGAAACAAAACCAGGTAGTCTATTGCTTAAGAGGAAAGGGTAGGAAAAGTGAGGACCTGGTAGGAGTCAGGAACCCAGATCATGCCTTGTGGGCTAAATTCAAGATTTTGGGTTTTGTCCTATGAACAGTGGGAAAGCATTGAAGAGGTTCAAGCAAGGGAGTGATGTGATTAGGCTTGCATTTAAAAAACTCACTCTGGCTGTTGTGTAGACAGTAGTTTGGAGGTGAGCAAGAGTGGACACAGGGAGAACAATTAGGAGAGAGACAGAAGCATGGATAAGGACGGTGGCAGAAGGGATAGAACAAAGCAGGCTGATTTGAGTGGCATTTAAAGATGATTTTATAAGATATGGAAGAGGTGAGAGAGGGATGCGTAGAGAATAACTCTTAAATTCCTGGCAAGGACATATTTGTGGATGGTGATGTCAACTGAGATAAGAAACATATTTGACAGAGAAGTTCTTGAGTTTTGTTTCAGAACATATTGAGCCTGTGGGACATACACGTGGCGTTGTTAATGAGCAGGTTGAGTTGGAAGCTGAGACATTTGGCCTTGTGAATAAAAATTGTGTCATTGGCTCATAAGTGATAGCTAAAGCCATTGCAGTAAGTCAGAGCACCCAGGAAAGACTAATTAAAAGAAACCTTAGAATAGAGCACAGGTTGGTAAACAGTATTTTCGATTTGCGGTTGGGAATCCGCTGATGCGAAGGTCTGACTACATGCATTGGTCTACACCATTTTATATAAAGGACTTGAGCATCCAGGGATTCTGGTATCCTGATACATGGGGGTCCTGGAACTAATCCCCTGCAGATGCCAAGGGACAACTGGAGTGAAGTTTTGGGGGAGTTGTAAGTTATACACGGATTTTCAACTGTAGGGAATTGACACCCCTAGTCCCTGAGTTCATCATTCAAGGGTCAGCTGTACTGCCCTCAAATCAAAATGATCCACAGAGAGTTTTTGTAAATAAAGTTTTATTGGAACAGACAACGCCCATTCATTCACATATTCACATACTACCTATGGCCACTTGTACGCTATAGTGGCAGGGTTGAGTAGTTGTGATGCGACCAAATGGCCCTAAAAGCCAAAAATACTTACTGTTGGACCCTTAACGGAAAATGTTTGCTAGTACAGAACCTTGAAGGGAGATAAAGAAATGGAAGCCCTTTCGGTTGATTAAGGGAACACAGAAGACAATAGCTACAGGAGGAGGTAGAATGCTTCTAGTATTGTCTCCTTGTTTAATTATCTAGCATCCGAAAATAGCTAATCAGTAGCATAATTGTTCCTTTCTTGCTAATGAACTATAACAATGCCTTGGGTTGTTGAATAATGTTGAGTGACTTCCATAGGAAACATGTCACAGAAATCCTTTTCATTTGTTTATTATTTTTTGAGATATAATTGACATAATATATTAATATCAGGTATACAACATTTGGATAAGCATTTTTGAAATTATTACAATAAGTCTGGTTAACAACCATCACCATTCACAGTTAGAATTTTTTTTTAATGTTGAGAACTTTTAAGATCTATTCTCAGCAACTTTCAAATAAACAATAGTATTATTAACTGTAGTTACCATGCTGTACACTACATCTGTATGACTTATTTTATAACTTGAAATTTGTACCTTTTAGCAACCTTCACCTATGAAAGCCCACCCCCCACTCCTACCTCTGTCAACCACTAATCTGTTCTCTGTATCTGTATTTTTTTTTTAATTTCATATATAAGTGAGGTCATATGGTATTTGTCTTTTTGTTTGTTTTTAATTCTAAAAATTAAAAATGACCAAATGTCCCTAAATTTTTTAAGTATTGTTAGGCTGAAGACAGTCAGAAGTGGAAACCTTCAGGCAAATTGTGTACAGAGAAGCATGCCCATTTAGATTAAGCAATTTTTTGCATTTAAGATGATAGTAAATAATAGTAACTTCTGTACATGGAGGTTCAGTTAATTTTTAAAAAGTTTTGTTCACTGATTGAAGTTACCGGCATTGTTTTCTAGAATAAAGAGTGGTACACTCCGTTAACTTAGAAAATTATTACTGTTATTTTTTTAAACTTATAAATTGTCATAGTTTTTTTAATCCATAATCTGAATTGTCTTTTTCAAAATATC